TTCTCACCTTGCTCAGCAGCTTTCGGCCCAGGGTCACTGCTTACTCTCCCATCCCCGCTGCTGGATCAACACGCTGTCTGCGTGGCTCTGGGGAGCGGTTCCTAGTCTCTAGTGCACCACCCATTGCCCCCATGGCTGTTTGGAGCCACTGACTGCTCAGTCTGGCCCTGCTTTCATCCTATGCCCATGAACAAACTGAGCTGACCACGGGAGAAATTCTGCCCCAAGTGGCTGGCGGAGATGTCATGAAAGAGGTGTGAGGTGTTTTGGGGTTTTTGAGGGGGCAAAGACCAGGGACTGGCTCTACCAAGTTCCAGTTAGTTTCTGCTTTGCACTGGCATGTGCCTCACTCAGCAGGAGCCACTACTGGGCCTGTGGCTCTGGAGAGTGGGGCAGGGGCAGGGGCAGGGAGGTAGAACAAACCTCCCCACACAACAGTCAGCCAACCCTCAGCTGGAAGGAGGAGAGGGAGCCAGCCAGTTCCATCTGTGCCTTTCCCAGGGGCAGCAGGGCCAGTTCCAGTTCCAATTCCATTCCAGTTTGAGCTAAGATGTTTTCAGCCTCCTCCCCGTGGAGGGGGAGAGTCAGTGGCAAAGGGACCAGGAAGGGCAATGAGCAGATACATTCCGCCTCCAGCTTCTCTGCATTCTCACTGGGTCCAGGCTGGTGGTAGATATTCCTGGCTGCTGCTGGCTTGGATCGCATCAGGGACCAAAACTTCAAAGCACATCCCCAACCCAACCCAATGTTTTGGGCCCAGGGGCCACTATAACTGGAAATCTATATGCAGGGAAGATACTGTGTTGTCCTTGGTTAAGGAAGCTGGGCATTGAGAATAGCTAGCTATGAATCCTCCCGTGTTTCCCCAGTGGATCAACTCTGCTGCCCTCTCTGCCTTGGCATGCTAAGACCCACTCCCTGGTGCCTTTCTCCCTCTCAACTGGAATTCCATGTAGCATGACTGCCCTCATTATCCCAGGGGAATCTGACCTGATGGTGCATTACAGGGGAGGCTCTTTAAGGTGCATCCAGTGAGGTGGTCTGTAAGTTCTAAGCAGACAGGCCTGGCTAAATGTTCTGTAATTTTTAATTGAGTTTTGATATCTGGCTTTAAGAGTCAATGTGGGGACTAAGCTGAGAAGCACGTCAGTTTGAGTCTTCCTGATGGGTGCCCCTTTCTCACTGAGCGCACTGGAGACCTCTGCTTGTTCCCAGTGCACTGTTCTGGGTTTACCCCTCTGTACACTTCCACTTCTGCTCTGTACACTCTTAACTTGGTGCTGCCCTTTCAGGGGAAGGGAGAAACGGGCTGCTAGGTTCTTAAAATGGGGAAGCCACCCCTGAAATATGGAAGAGAACTCCACACATGGCTTCTCCTCTTTCTCATGCGCTCATTGTTTCACTTCCAGAAGCACAATAGAGATGCAGAAGGGTGCCTAAGGGACACTGAATTGAAGGTGAAATGTTTGCGTGAGGGCCTAAGGGGTGGGTGGCAGAAGCGAGTCCTGAAACATGTCCCTTCCTAGTCTCTCTGGTAGTTGCTATAGTGCTGAAGCTTGTATGGGCAAGAGGGTCTCTGGTCTCCTGTCCCCAGATCAATGTACTGTACTAAAAAGGTTGATGAGCTGTTCCATCACACTGGACGAGCCAGCTAGCAGCAGGCTGGGGGATAATGGTGAACCTTCTGTTTTTAACCAGCTTTTCTGTTCATCTGTGGGAGACTTGGGAGTGGCATGGGTGAAAGGGGATGCAATCAGCCTTGGGCAGAGCATAAAAGTGACAGTGATGGGCTGTAGGGAATTGAAATCCTTGTGGTGCTGAAACATGTGAGCACAAGACCTGGGGGAATGGAGAGGTGCACATTCTTGATCACTGATACTCTGTTCTTAGAGCCAGTTGTCTGGGGGGGGGGGGGGGGGGGGAGTAAAAATGTGAATAAACCTTTTTTAATGGACCAAATAAAAACACAGGAAACTAAGTTTTTGGGCCTAAAACTTTTTTAATGTTACCTTGAAACTCTTGTCCCTCCCGTTCCCCTGCCTTCCCCCTTCCCCTTTTTTTTCTTCTGCCATGGAAAACAGACATCTTACTGCTTGATTTCTGCCTTCTCTCTGACTTATGCACTTTTTTGCCTTTTTTTTTCATAGCTGAAAAAGTACCTAAACCTGTATTTAAAATAAATAAGTAAAATCTTAAAAAAAAAAAAAAAGATAAAGATAAAAGCTAAATTGCATCATTGTAACCATTTCATTAATGTGTTTTTGTGTTTAAACAAACAAGTCTTACATCTTAGCTTTCCAAGTTGCATTTCAGTGCCAGGTTTAGATCTTTTTTTTTATTATTATTATTGGTGGGTTTTTTGTCTGTATATTTCTTCTGGTGGGCCTGAACACCCCCCAGAAAATGAAATTTATTTGGCCTTTTTAACTGAACCATTCAATGGAACAAACCAACAAATTCTCTTCCCGGTTTATTCAAATTTAAAATAAAAGTATAATTTTTACCTACTGACTGCTCTGGTCTTAATTATGTTTTTAATTTTCCTCTGGCTTTAAACAGGTTACCAGCTGTGCTGGAAGAGGGAGGGCAAGTAACAAAGAGGAAATTAATTTGAATCAGTTTGGTTTTTTTTTTTTGATTAAAAACAAAACTTTTTTCTGTGATGAGTGTGGTGCCCAGTGAAGTCTATTGGAAGCTAAATCAACATCCACACTTCTAGCTACCCGCAGGGTTCAGCTCTACCTCTGCCCCTGCTATGGAGGAGAATGGTTGTGCTTAGACCACTTACCTGGGCTTTCAGAGACCTGGGTTTCATTCCCAGCTCCACTGTGGACTCCCTGTGTGACTGTAGCCATGTCGCTTAGGCCCTGATCCTTTACAGGTATTGAGGTTCCATTGAAATTGGTTACAAACCTAAACATCTCTTGAGGATCTGGGCCTTACACCAAACGTTTAGCTACCTGGCCCAAATTTTCAGAGCTCCACCACACTAGCTGTCTGGTAGCTCCCCCTGCACCCTGGTCTCCCTTATATCTGTTTGATTAACCTCTGCCTTCAACCCCTCTGCAGAATGGGGAAAATACCTCTCTTCCCCACAGAGGGGAGGATAAATCTCTGAACAAGGTTCTCCAGTACCATTGTCATGAGAGCTATAGAAGTCAGTAAGTTTAGCAAGGTAAAACATTTGGCAAAACATCCTGGCTTTCTATGCCCTCTCTGTGGCAATGATCAATTGCTGCAGACATCAAGTTAATTGGTCAAATTGGAGACCTTTTCCTATAGAGGGGAAAACTCCTTTTCCAGTGTACCTGGTCATACTTGAACTTTGAATGCCTCTTAAGTAGCCCATCATTCCTCCAGCTGATGACTAAATCCCAGTGGCAGAAAGCAGGGGCTAGTGCTTCACTTTGGCTGTTGGAGCCATGCAAGGTGGGATTTTCAAGGATACCTGAATGATTTAGGAGTGGAAAGTCCCCTGAAAGGAGAGAGAGAGGAATATTACATGGATATACTTGAGGGGGGATAAAGGTCACCATTACTTTTAACTCCCTCCCATGAAAATAGGTGTTCCGGTGAAAATAAAGCAAGTAGCAGTGGATCTGCAGGGAGCAGCTGCGTCAGACTCCGAAGAAGGAAAAGTTTTGCAGGTCCCCTTTAAACTGGTTCCATGTCACTGCATCCCGGCTTTGCTTGTCATGCCAGGGGAAAGGCACCAACCTGGCAGTCAAGAGCTGATGACTTCCGGTTCTACAGCTGACTTACTGGGACCCACCAGCACTGTCTCCACTCCAAGCAGAAGCCTGCAGCAGCGAATCTCAGCACCTGGGTCTAGGCCCTCGGTATTGTGCTCCTGTGCTAAAAATAGCTGTGTAAAGGTTTAGCTTCACAGCTGTTTTTAGCACTCTCGCATGAGCCCCAGTCTATAGATCCAGGCTCTGAAAGGCACTGCTGCAGGTTTCTGCTTGCTGTGTAGACATGCTCTGTGTGAGTCACTGAGAGAGAGTATACTCCTGTGGCCAGTAGAGACTGAAAATGTGGGTTCCATTCCTCCTCCTGTCACAGACTCGCTGTGTGACCTTGGGCAATCACTTAAATCTCTCTGCCTCAGTTTCCCCTCCTGGAGATAAGATGCCCTGTCTCCCAGTCTTTGACTGTCTTGAGTATAAGCTTTTTGGGATATAAGAACATAAGGCTGGCCAGACTGGAGCAGACCACTGGACCATCTAGCCCAGTATCCTGTCTTCTGAGAGTGGTCAATGATAGATGCTTCAGAGGCAGTGAACAGAACAGGGTGATTTATTGAGTGATCTAGCCCCTGTTGCCCATTTCCAGCTTCTAGCAGTCAGAGGTTTAGGGACACCTAGAGCATAGGGCTGCATCCCTGACTATCTTGGCTGATGGACAAATCCTCCATGAACATAGCTAATTCTAGGTTTCAGAGTAGCAGCCATGTTAGTCTGTATTCGCAAAAAGAAAAGGAGTACTTGTGGCACCTTAGAGACTAACAAATTTATTTGAGCATAAGCCTTCGTGAGCTACAGCATCCAATGAAGTGAGCTGTAGCTCACGAAAGCTTATGCTCAAATAAATTTGTTAGTCTCTAAGGTGCCACGAGTCCTCCTTTTCTCTTCATTATGTCATTAGCGGCAAGGGTGACAGGTTATTTAACTGGGGATTGTGGCCTTGCTTTCTGCCTAGGAAACGGTAAATGGGTTCTTAGCTCCTACACGTGCACTGAGCCCTGTGGAAGGGTGATATATATAATTATTAAAGTAGCACCTAGAGGCACCAACTGAGAACAAGGCCCCGTTGTGCTAAATGCTGCCCAGGCACATCATGAGATACAGAATTAACTACAAGAAAAGGAGTACTTGTGGCACCTTAGAGACTAACCAATTTATTTGAGCATAAGCTTTTGTGAGCTACAGCTCACTTTTCCACTGAATGCATCTGATGAAGTGAGCTGTAGCTCACGAAAGCTTACACTCAAATAAATTGGTTAGTCTCTAAGGTGCCACAAGTCCTCCTTTTCTCATCATCACTGTCTCTCTACAGCCAGCCATGCAAACACACAGCAAGCCCCATGTTCCATGGTGATGTCTTAACAGGGCAGCTCAGGCCTGCATTGGGATGCCCAAAAAGGCACCAACCTATCCAGACCTGCTGCAGTGATGAGTGGGGTTTATAAGTGAGCCCCAGCCCCACAACATGTCCGACAGTACTAAAAGTCTGAGCCATAACAAAAGCAGCCCCCAAGGGGCTGTCCCATTACCTCACTCCTGCCTGTGCCTCTGCCCAGCCAGGGCCCATAGCTGCAAATATTAGCAGCAACACAGCCAGCTAGCTCGGCCTCCTGAGAACCAGCTGCAGCCTGGCACTTGGTCTGTTCGAAACAGCGGATCGCAAAGCAACTCTTCCAGGAGGTAAATTACTGTCGCTAGCTCTGCGGCGGGCTGAGCTCCTTTGTGTACAGTCGGAGCCTTAGGAGCCCTGGGGGGGGCTGCCTTTGGACCCTCCTCCCCAGTTTGAACCTTTGCTCTCCACCCCCACCCCTCCTTTTTATTTTTTTAAACTCTGCTGTCATCCTTGGTGAAAAGCTATAGCTCAAGCTGATCAGGCATCCTCACTCTGTCCTCCGGCTGGGAGAGGAGGGAAATACTGTGGGGGCTGGGGAACGAGATCTGGGCTAGTCCTTGTCTCTGCCATTACAGCCACCGTGCCTGCCTCCCTCACTGCAGCAGCATCTCCGGCTCAGGCTCTCCCTCCCCTGCAGCCCAAACAGGCAGCCTGTGCCCCTGTCTCTGCCACATCCACCATGCTGGATATTTTCATCTTAATGTTTTTTGCCATCATCGGCCTGGTGATCCTCTCCTACATCATCTACCTGCTCTAGGAGCCCCAACAGCAGTGCAGGGGAAGGATGAAGCACTGCAGCCAGCCATCCTGCCAGTCAAAGCATCATCCAGGTGAGGATTTGCTGCTGACGGTCACAAGCCATTTTAATTGCTGGGGAATAAGGTGAAGGTTAGTTTCGTTTGCAATGCTCTTGTTTTCAGCCAGCGCTCTCACAGGCTTTCTGATCCAGACATGCTGCTGGCATCACAAAAGCCGTTTCCTGCACAGTAGCTGATGGGGGGGGGAGGAAGACACATTTTTGTTTAATCAGGCTGCTTAGAATAGTTAAATAATCTATTATTTTTTCCTCCAGTTCTATCTATCAGTTACTCCCAATCAAATTAAGGGCTTTCCGCTGCCATTAATAACCATGCTGTGTGTGCTAGAGCTTTCTGGTCCCACTGAGAAAGAAGTAAAATATAATGTGAGTTATAGATAAAATAAGTGAGTCTGGTTGCATGCTTTGAATGGAGGCAGATGGGTGTCTTGCAATATCTGGTGCTCTCGCTCATCATTTTAGCAACAGCTCCCACGTTCCCACTTTCACTGCCCAGTTGATAAAAAAATCTGACGCCTTTTGCCACTTATGTTTCTATATGTGCAGTTTTCCCATCCTTAAGCATGTTTGGGGTTTCTGCAGCTCTCAGGCCTGGGTCAGACAAGTATCACCTTTTCCTCAGCAGCAGCAGCCATGCCAGAGCCATCAGGAGAAAGAGTTAACCCTTTGCAAGCAACCCGCTTCCTGAGCAGCTGGAGAGAAGAAAACCCCAGAAAGAGCAGCCATTGGACAGTGCAGATGTCAAGACTTATAAATGCCCTTGACAGAATGTCTGAGCTGTAATGCATCTGAAGAGCAAATACAAAGCGACCCGGCCTCAAGAATGGACAGAGAGAGAGCGAGAGAGCGCATGTGTGATAATGAAACCTCACTATGGAGAAGTGTGTTGTTTTGTTTGCCATGCTGGTATTAAGGAAATGTAACTTCACTGTTCCGTGGCCACATAGTTATCCCCCCTTCTTGGGAAAAGTACCTGCTGGTTTTTAGTTTTAGAAAGTATATATATATTTTAATTAAAAAAATCAGAAAAGGTTAAAAAAGCAACACAGAGCAAAATCTGAATATCACAATAGTATCTTATGCAGACATGTCACCTTTCATTTTAACTGATCACCCACTGCTTATCACTGGGCATTGCTAAAATGCATCCACTTCTGGGGTGGAGGGTGGCAACTAGCTAGAACACTTCAGGAATGGCAGCAGGAATTTTGGACAAGGACTATAAAGGAAAATCCCTATGCATAAGAAATATACAAGGGACCTTTTGGCCCAATTCATCAAGACAGATGGTGCTGAGCCTGTGTTTGAAAAATGCTTTTAAACACATTTCTGCCACTAATCTGAGTGCCCAGCTTCTATGGAGGGGGCAACAACCGGAACACAGATTAGCCTCAGAAACTGCTAGATAGCTAGCAACTCGTACTCCAGGCCTATTCGGGGAAAGGTGAATGATACCATGTGCCCATCTGTTTTGCGGGTGGGGGCCCCCATAGCTCCAAATAAAGCCACTGAAAGGTGTGGGTGCTAAATCCCCTCGCTCAATGTGAGTTGTGTATCCAAACCATCTACTGCACCCAGCCAGGAGTTAGAACAATGGGAGGTCAGAGCTTAATTTACCACTGCTTGGAGAGGTTTGAGTGAGAGGCTCTGGGGCCTTTTGGGAAATTTCCCTGTAGGCCAACGTGATCCTGAATCAAGCCACTGCCTCTGTGTATTATCCCCCTTACACAGCCTTCTAGTGTGCAGGACCAGGAGGAGGTATGGAGTGGGGAATGGGTGGGAAAGAGAAAAGAGGCCAAAACACCAGGGCCAAGATTTTAAAAAGTGGGCACTTTTGGTGCCCGTCTTGGACAGTCCATATTCGTGGCCACTTCCACAAAGCTCAACCCACTCCCAGTGCTTGAATTATAGGAAAAAAATGCCTGTGGGCCCTAACCTTTTGTCGACTCAGTAGCAGTGAGCAGTGCAGGCATAGAGCTCTGGCCTGACTGCTGCAGTCATGTTTAATTCTGCCTCACCCTCCAGACACTTTTTATTTTGGACAAATGCAAACAGTTTTCTGGAGTTAAAAATGGAATGAACAACAACATGAAAGGCTCAGTCATCCACTACTGTGTAATAAGCATCACATGTAATGTTTATTTCAGATGTTATTGTATAATGAAAACAACTCTCCTAGAAGGTAAGATTTTTGTATGGCTGGATTCCCCCTGCAGTTAATTCTTGCTGGGAAGCAATACACCCCTGGAAATAGAAGTTTTGTAATGGAAAAAATCTTGATGCATCCTTAACTCACATGACCTAGAATCATAGAATATCAGGGTTGGAAGGGACCTCAGGAGGTCATCTAGGCCAACCCCCTGCTCAAAGCAGGACCAGTCTCCAACTAAATCATCCCAGCCAGGGCTTTGTCAAGCCTGACCTTAAAAATTTCTAAGGAAGGAGATTCCACCACCTCCCTAGGTAATGCATTCCAGTGTTTCACCACCCTCCTAGGGAAAAAGTTTTTCCTAATATCCAACCTAAACCTCCCCCACTGCAACTTGAGACCATTACTCCTCCTCCTGTCATCTGCTACCACTGAGAACAGTCCAGATCCATCCTCTTTGGAACCCCCTTTCAGGTAGTTGAAAGCAGCTATCAAATCCCCCCTCATTCTTCTCTTCCGCAGACTAAACAATCCCAGTTCCCTCAGCCTCTCCTCATAAGTCATGTGTTCCAGTCCCCTAATCATTTTTGTTGCCTTCCGCTGGACATTTTCCAATTTTTCCACATCCTTCTTGTAGTGTGGGGCACAAAACGGGACACAGTACTCCAGATGAGGTATCATTATAATTAGGAGGCAATTTACTCTGAATTGTAGTGTTTGTGGCTTATATAAGCACTTTTGGGGTACAAGTGGCAAGAATAATTTGAAATTTGTTGATAAGACTTTCTACAAAAAAAAATGTTTACATAAAGATGGGAATTATGGTTATCATTGCCAGCTGAGTACTTGACATAGTACAATTTCCTGTCAGTACAAAATTTCCCAAGGGAGAAGTACAGTGCGTATATCTTTGCCTGTAGATCCAAATTGATGTTCTCCAGTGCATCTGCTTCAGCCCAAATTGCATTACACAGCATACCACTGCCAGGGCCCAATTGTGGGTCACAGTCAGGGCTTTAAAAAGGGTGAGAGACCCAAAATAAGGAACCTAACCCTTCTCTCCACCCCCACAAAACAGTTAAAATGGAAACTCTAAATGTTATGGGAAGCAACTCTTGAATATAAATAAAATGTTCAGTAACCTCAGTTTCATGAGTCTGTATTTCTGATGTCAACAATCTAAAGTGATATAGACTGAGAGAGCAGCAAGGAATGTGTGGAATGGCGCTTCAACTGGGTGTAAAACCAGTGACACTAATTATATCCTTCTATAAATGCTTTCTTTCCCCAAAGGACTTTAGCAACCTAACCAACTATGTATAACAATCCCTTCAGCCATATCCCAAATGCAACCAATTCGGCAGTGGAATGTGGCAGCTGTTTAGCAAGCACTGCCAACACTACACAACAGCTGAAGATGGGAAATGACGAATCCCTTATCCAATTGAAACTGCAAGGGGAGTTTTATGTAGGAGGAACGTAATTGCCCAAGATGAAATTTAGCCAGGATATCAGGACTAATATCCCTACTCTTTCAAGAGCTACTGTGTGATCTTTAGGGATCAGAACTGTTGTCTTTTCCTATACAAACAGATTCAGGGTGAACTCTTGATTGCATTGTAGTTAATGGGAATTTTGCCATTGACTTCAATGGGGCCAAGATTTCACAGAGCATTTCTAGGAGTTCAGTGCCCCTTTAACATCATAGGGACACCAGTTCAGTACTGACTCAGAAGAAAAAGTACCAACTCCTGAATTGTCATCATCACCAATTCCTTTAGCACACTGGGTTTTCCTCAGTCTCCCATTTGATTATTGACTTAATTAGTGTAATGATCCTTAATAATGCCCCTTCCCCTACTCTGTGTCTGTCTTGTCTATTTAGATTGTAAGTTCTCTGGTGGCAGGGCCACCTACTGCTATGTGTTTGTACAGTGCCTAGCACAATAGGGCCCATTCTTGGTAGGCCTGAAGGCACTACCCTAATAAACATGGTTAGTAATAAGAAATTTGGGAGATCTAATGGGATCCTGACACAAGACTGTCTGGCTGCAAAGCTGGCTGTGCTGTGCTGTTTTTCAGTTTAAACAAATCTGTTTGGGAAGTCCTGTTTCAGGACAAGAGGTGTGAACTTCAGTTGTTTGCAAAGGAAAATCTCCTTCCTGAAGAAAGGGCTGGAGCACCAAGAAATTGAAACTAATGCCAAACACTCACTGAGCTATTGTATCTATTAAAAAACAACCACCAATCATTATAATACAGGGACCACTGTAACATTTCAAGCTGGCACACCCATAAACTTAAATTCCTTGAAGATTTGCTAAGAGAAAGGACTAATATTGATAAAGTCAGTATTTCTTATCATATGTTGCTATTAAATCAAAGGGCCCCACTTTCTTGCATAGCTGCACTCTTACGACATTCTTTGTGAGTTGCTGCAATTTATTGCTGTTGTGTCTTCACTCATGGGTCTGGTTCAGTCATGGGTCATAGAATTGGCATATACTGGTGTAAGACCTACAACATGTTTGTGTTGTCTCATTTATAATTGAATCTTTTTCACTATACTACAGAACAAAGTTTCATAATGACTTTACAGATCCTTCCCATTATTCTATATTTTATTTTAAAATAGGTCAATAATAATTACACATAAAAGTGAGAGACAGATAGAACAAAAATGTGTTTTAAAATATTGTTGAAAATCCAGAACATGGATTTTAAAAACAATATTAACATACCAGTATGTTTCATATTTTGTTTTTAAATTAACGGTTTCATCTCTGACATCTGTTGGTGCACAGTTAAGTTTCTAGCTGAATGTTAGCAAAAAATTTACCTTCCACTCCCACCCATACATGCAGCCAAATTCTATCCTTGGATATGTTTCAAAAAAAAAAAAATCTTTTTAAATAGAAAGTATCAGGAGTTATCAGCTCATTTCCATTGAAATCAATTGGGTGCAGATTTTCAGCTGGTGTTAATTGTCAGCTCCCACAATTTATGCCAGCTGAGGATCTGCCTCTTGGAGATGAACAGCTGTCTCAAATGGCAAAATTTGGCACATATTTAAATAATTTGGAAATATTTCAGATGGGGGAAAAAGGCATTTTAATAATATGAGGAAAATAACCATCATGTAAATAACCTAAAATGAAATATACTGTTTAGCACATATTAAATATTTTCAATTTTTAAAGCTATGTACCATAAATATAAAAACTTTCTGTAAATAGGATACATATCTGTGTATTTTAATAAAAAACAGTGATCTTAGAATGTCTACATGCATTAAATGTCCTTCAACTTTGCAGAGTTCCAGAGACATGTAATTTTTTTTTAACTGTCCAGTTATTATATTTAGCACAAAGGTACATTCTGAAGTTACTTCTGCTTTATGGCTGAAAGGCATGTGCTGTAAAAAACTAATTTTTGCCTTCCTTAAAAAACTAGGACTCTTTCCAGAGACTGTCTCCTTCTATGCTGAAACTTAATGCACAATCCATGCAAGATATCTAGTTCTGAAGCTAAGAATGTGAGAGTGAATTATAGATACGCAGGTATAAGCTGAACTGGAGAAACCTGGCCATGCCTTTGTCATTATATTGGTTTTGTGTTAATGGATTCCAAAGAGAAAAACAAACTTAAAAGAGCAAAATATTTTCTGTTCTGAACTAAGATAACATTCTTTAATTTGTGGACATACATCAAATATTAACACCGTGTCATTTTTATTTTGTATCCAAATATACACAGTGGGAGAAGAAAGCAGTGTGTATTCCTGCCCATAACAGCCAAACCATGGAATGCCACAGATAGGCTCCTCAGCACATCCTGACATACAGGCTTAGGCAAGTTTATTGCACAGACTGTGCTGTAGTTTCTTAAAGATGCCTTAGTATGTCTTCATAGGTTTAAGTAATTCTTCTGCTTTGTATTTCACTAGCATCTCCAGTCAGCCTCCTGCTGCTTCTGCAAAGGTTATACCTCCAGATTTAACTGGTTATTATATTTTCTATTTTTGACAATGTGCTCAGTAGCTGCTACAACTTCGCAAGCAGCTGCTGGAGAGTGAATTTAAAAAGGTAGGTGGACACTATTTTGTATTCGTGAGAAAATAAAGGGTGGAAAAGGCCACCTATCTGAATCACTGTAGTATTATCTAAAAGCCTGAGATTCTGAGTATTTAGGCAGAGGTGCTTCTCATGGTCAGATACAGAATTTCCTTATGGAAGTTAGCTTGTGCATTCACAAGGTGGAACAAATTCAAAAAGCTGCTGTCTTCTTCATCACGATCTCCTAAGCACCAGAACGGAAACATTAAAAATAGTGAATGAAAACAAAGGGCTCATTTGTAGGGAGAAGATCTCAGAAACTACTTAGTCAGTATCTTAGTAGAGGCCAATTATGACCCAGGTACCTCTTGATGCCAACTGGCAGGGAGCAGGGGATGGATAGAGTTTAACAGGGATCCCCTGTGTCAGATGCACACAATAATTCACCAAAGCATGGCATGTAAGGTCACTACTGAAAGCTAATAGCCCACTGGTCATCATAATCGTTGTGAAATGCATACATACATTGACAATATTTGAGAAGTTATGTATCTATACTGAAAATTATGTTCTTAAAGCCTTGGAGTTAAAGGCAGGTCACCAGGAGGTGACATGCCTCAGACAGGTTGTTTTCAGGTAGGTGGTAGCAGATGTTTATTTGTGTCTGGTCATTGTGTCTCTCTCAATGTAAGTCTGTTTGCATACTGAGCCACTGGCTAATCAAGATTGCAAAATTGACAAGAGATCAGAAAATCTGTAAGAAAGGAGTATACAGGAAAAAACAACTATCAGGGGGCATCCCATTTATGAATGAAGACAAAGGAAGGGACTTGTATATCTGGGGAGTCAAAACAACACACTTGATCCTTTACCTCGGGGGCAAGCTGGCAATGTGTCTTGTTTTATGAAAAAGGGATCACAGCCTGCCTGGCTAGAAAGCATTGAAGAGCCATACTTTATCAACCATGAGAGTATTTTGTTAAACAAGTCTATGTTCTAAAATTCGTGTCATCATTATATATGTAACCATTTGTGTCCAATACTTCTACTTGCTATCATTTGAATCTCTTTTCTTTGTTAAATAAACTTCTGCTTGTTTTCACTATGAACATATTTAAGTGCTGTGTGTCAAATGGAGCAGTGATCTGAGGTGAAATGGATAAGTTGGAGTGTGCTGCTTCTTTGGGCGCAGTGAATGTATGAATACTGAGTGTCTGGTGAAACAGGGTCTCGATGCTCCAAGAAGATGATCGGAGGGCTCAGGGGTTGGGGCATGCCTATTGCCGACCTGTAGAGGGGCACCAGAGCCTGCTTAGGCTGAGAGGCGAGTACTTAGTTGTGCTGCCCGTGGCTGGTGGAGTCAAGCAGCTGACCCATGGTAGGCACAGATAAGATGTCCTTAAGCTAAGAGCTGGTGGTAGCCAGATGCCTCACAGCTCGGGTACCCCTGGGAAGCACGACACCAAGTTAGCAACTTCCATTTAGATTTATTAGACATCAGATATGGCTGATGCGGGCACAGCTGTGAAAGAACATTGCAGACTCTCATAACCAGCTTGTCCAGGGTTGAACAAGAACAATCTTGCTTTAAGATAGAAATCTGTCCTAAATGAGCAACCCATTCATCTTTATTGCTTGCAGTTATAAAGAGTCTTGAGTTTATATCAGGGGTGACAAAGTTTGGACTACGGAGGAAATGCAGCCCAAGGAGTTTAATAATATGGCCTGCAGCCTCTCTGATTTTGAATGGAAGGACAGACAAAAAGGATGGTCCCAAGATGCAATGCTCCAGGTCCCAAGATGCAATGCTCCAGCTTGTTCCAAGTAGTTTTCTACTGGGATTAAGAAGGAACACTGCACACGGGGAGTACTAGAGTCTGAGTCCTTGTTGCCCTATGCTTTGTGTCATCCTTCCAGTGATTCTCAACTAGGGATCCGGGACTCTCTGGGTGGCTGTGAGCAGGTTTCAGGGGGTCCACCAAACAGGACCAGTGGTAGACTCACTGGGGCCTAGGGCAGAAAGCTTAAGCCCTGCTGTGCAGGGCTGAAGTCTGGGGCTCTGAGCCCCGCTACGCAGAACTGAAGCAGAAG